ACATGTGAAGTCGGGCGATTACAGAAAACGGTCGAGTTTTTGCGATTGGCACTGTGATCTTTGTCGGTGGACACGTGACAGTTAAAAACGCACGTGACCGGAATACGGGCAAGAACACCGTGAAACATTCTTTCGAACAGACCTCCGGGAATCAAATATTTTCTTTAAACGGTATCAAAAACCACAAACAATTGAAGATTTAAAGAACAATATATGAATAAAAATCTGTTAAAATAAAAAAAAATAAAAACTCCAAAATCAATAAGCTAATTTTTTAACGTTGAACAGTGGGACACCTCTATTGGATGACACTTTTAGGAGAAACAAATGTTTAACGTTTTTTCCCTCAAGGATTTTATTTATTTAAAAAAAAAGTTTATCTTCAATCGGTTTATAATTTAAACTTTATTATTGTAACCACTCGTTACCAAAAAGATTGATTATGGCCTATAGTTACTAAAAAATAATTTAGACCAATTAAAAAAGTCGACTTCTGTCAGATCGACCTAACCTTACTTTCTACTTTTGATGAATATTAATATTAATATAATTCTACGTTAAATTTATCGTTTAACAAATGAAATTGTGCCTTAAACGTAAAATGAAGAGCAACTTTTGAAATCATATCATGACCAGCAAAATAATTTTTCAAAAAAATGCCAAAAACGCGTTTCTACAATGTAGTTCGGCTGAGATCTGTCTTTTAGTAAAGACTCCATTGTTGGCCTGAAACTTTGAGCTCAGCACAAAACCACTTAATTCTTGGCCACACCATTTACAAATATTCTAAAAAAACAATTGCATTTTTATATAATTTAACTTTAAAAGGTATGTATATTTGGTTTGTTTTAATAAATAAATTAATTCAATACGGTACTGTTATTATAAATTTCATGAACCTAAACGTAGGCCACCCAGGATGCAATAAAGTTATATCGGTTGCGTTAAGGTAATAACTATCCAATTTAGGGAAAGGTTTTAGGGGGGGAGCAAAATAAAAATATATTAAAATTATGCCCCACCTACAAATATTTATTATTTGTTATTCTTTGGAATTTAGAAAAAATATTTCTTAAGAAATTTTCACAAAATTTATAATACCATTCCACACATTTTGTCTGTGTACCATTCAATAAAATATTGAATGGTTTTTGAAGATTTTAAAATTAATACAGTGTTTTTTAATTTTCAAAAATTTTGGTTGGGTAAAAATTGGTTATGTTGTGAGGCGGAGCAAATTTAATTTTAAAAATAGGATTTAAATACCTTCTTATTTCATGCTTTCTTTGTTTATTTATTTATATGATATTTTTTTTATCCCCAGAAACGCGTTATTTTGGAAAAGTTTTCCTCAAAACCCCATGTAGTATCTGGCATATACATAAGTAATATCACCAGATCTGGGAAAAAAATCCCCATTAAATTATCATTCAAACCTAAAATCAAAATAAGTGCGTAATAATAGTATATTTTGTATCAAGTTCTAGAGTGTCTAGAAAAGTAACTTTTCAAAAGTTTATAAACGAGGTGCATACTATACTTGTCCTACGACAAATACTTATCTTAAAATTTTAATGATTTAAATCAAATACTTGTATAGAGCGCCATCTATAAAACAATGTATATAGGGGAATCTGCGTTACCGTCAAATGTTAAATTTGTATGTGTTTTAAACACAGATTATAAAGCTTATAAATCGAAATGTATTGTTTACACCAGTTTTTCATAGTGAAAGTAAAGAAAATGTTTTATGAGCACTTCACACTGCAGTGGAGTCCGAGCCCGAATTTAAGTTATAGTTTACTGCCGGCAAAATTAAACGGTCAGTACAATGTTCATATAAACTTTTCAAATATTGGCCTTTAGAAACTATTTAATACTTTTGTATTTTTGTATTGAAATAATAAAATAATTTTCACATTTAGTATTATTTTACAAGGTAGGCACTTTATTTTAACGATTGTATGACATTTGACAACTGTCAACTAATTTAAAACTTCAGCTCATGACTAAAGCGCCATAAAGCCATAACCTGTCAATGTGTATTTAAAAGGTCACTTGGTGTCATGAAAACATGTACGATAAGTTATCGTCGATAACACTATGCGATCGCATTATAATGGGCGTTTTATCTACTCCTACATTGACAAGCTGTGATTTTAAGGAGTTTTAGTCACGGGCACAACAGTGGATTTTGGGCAATTTCGTCACAGGCCAAGTTGGCTTTATTATTAATTAGGAAAATGTGAGGTTAAATCCGTTAAAAGTTAACAGATGTCAAATGTTTAACAAATAAAATTGGCTTTAAATTCTTATTTGTGTTGGTCGTAGATAAAGTATAGTTTGCAACTCGTTTTATAAACTTCTCTAGACACTCGTTATTATTAAACACTCGCCGTCCATAATTCTAGTGACGCTAAAAATGGTCTAAATTTACCACCTCCATAGTGACATAATGTGACGATGTTAAGACCCCCCTTATGTGAAGAATTATCGAACTCCCCTACCCCTAAAACTATTTTTTTTCTACAACCAAGCGAAAAGTACAAATTTGCGCTTCCAAACGAAAGCGCAAAGTTGCACTTTTCCAAGGAGCGATTGTTTTTTTACTTTGCGCTCGCCGAGTTACCATGGAAACCACCACAATCCAATGTGTATTGTGGAAACCACAATAAAGAAACGTTTAGTGTATTTGCGACTTTTGACACAAACGTCAAAATTGAGGTTATCAATAATTATTAATTTTTACCAAACATTCTCATAGAAACACCGGTTGCAGAAAAAATCCTGTGTGTAATTCGAGCGCAAAGTGACATTGCCGCTCTCGCGAGATAGCCGCACAGCAAACGGAAAATTATAGAAGTGTATAGGATGACTCCGCGTTTGAATATCAAATCTTAAAGTTTTATCATAACTGTATTGAATCGTGCTTTGTTTTTATATTTTTCGGCTCTATACCTATGCACGACTATATTTAAAGTCAAACTCAATGGTGTCGTACAAGATACATTATTTTGATTTTCTATATTCAACAGAGGAGTAGAAACTCGACCCTGTCGAATGGTGCAGTCACACACAAAAAACGTAGTGTTTGCTGTGAATGTATGCTATTTATTTTAAATATACCGTTAGTTCCTATATGCGCGATGAAATGAAGTGTTTGTAATAAATATTTTGTATATTCCCCATTCAAAAGAATGATCGTCTTAAAATAAGACTTTCAAATATTTGAAAGCAATTATTTTGTTGAAGAATTTCATATATTTGATGTTAAAGTAAATAAACATATTAAATATTCTAATTTAATATATCATAAACTTTTAAGTAATTGAATACGTTACTTTATGAATATTGCTCTATTTAAAATGAATGTTTCATATGTTCAACATAATTATTGGCAATAGTCTTAACAAAAGTAAAATAGCTTTAAGATACACTTGTAAAGTAAAATATAAAATATCTTTTAAATAAATCAAAGATTCAGTTAAAATAAATTACTAAATTTATATCAATAGTTTTAGATTTGTTTTAAATATAATACCTTTCCATTTAGTAAACGCATTTAAATGTATGAATTTTTTTGCGCTAAAACAAACATTTCTATGTGTGCATTTATGTCTCTAGAAATTATTAAAAAAGGGTTCAGTCCAATGGTGCAGCAACTTCGGATTCCTATTCTCCTCAGAGACATAGAAACTCAAGCTTTTCGAATTTTACTGGCAATGATTTTCGTTAATGTCCCCGAGAATTATACAAAAACAGCGCAATGCAATATCGCAACGGTTTCGACTTCTCTTTACTCTACCAAGTTATAGAAACTGGAGTCTCTCTAATACTGTTCTAGTCAATATTTCTGAGAGTATAAAAAAAGGTGTAATATTGCAAGAAGTTTTGATCTTTTGATGGATGGTTTGAATTTTCTCCTTTCTGCATACCTATGATTTTGTTGAAAATAGTTCCTTTCTTTGGTTCCTTTGTCTGATTTTTAGTTACCGTAACAACTCAGGTATGTAAAGCACAGATGATATGATGTTAAGTATATTTATGTATTATATAAAGTACCTATATTTGTATTAAAAATTTCAGAGGTTATGTGGAAAAAATGATCGATATGCTATTAAACTTAAATAATTTAGTAATTAGGTCTGTTGGTAGACCCTGCACTATCTCCACTGGTATATGTTAGTTTTGTAATATTTAAATCTGGTTGATGAAAAAGCACACACCAGTGCAGGTTATTGTAGCATCTACGAACAAATGAATTAATGGCCCATTGGCAATTATTCCTTTAGGAAAAATATTCAACACAGCTTAATTAATTAATAAAATGAAAAAAAATCACAATCATGTCGTATATAGTTTTTTTTTTAACATAAAATAATTTTTATTTTAATCCTAGTTCAAAAGTGAAATTACGACCTCTATACTGTGGAGAGTATTGAAACGCTCGATTGACGAATACAACTCTATACCGTAGGGAGATTTAGAAAACGATATTCAAACGTGGCGTCATCCTATACACCTCTATAATTTTCCGTTTGCTGTGCGTGCTCCGCTACGCGTCGCGCGTCAAACTTCTCGCTCAGAGCGGCAATGTATCACTTTGCGCACTTAAGTCTCAAATAGCTATTAAAAATTATAATATACCAGTAAACAGTGTGTCAACAGATCGGATTGCCAATAGGAAAAACTTTTTTATACCTGATGCAGATAACCGAGCACGGATTTGGAATCTACGACCAAAAATTATGTTTACGTGTCCGAGCGTTTAGCTGTGATATTTCAAGAGTTGATAATTTACCTACAGTGTTATTAATGCGTATGGAATAAACAATATAAAGGTGTTTTGTTAGTTGTCTAACATTCAAATGCGTCTCAGCTTGTCAGCAAATGAATTAATTAAACTTATTCCCTTTCTGATGACTTTCTGATAAAATTACTGCAGATTTTTGCAAGAAAAATGAATACATTGAAACAAAACTCAAAATAAAATAATAAAACACAACTTTATAACATAATACTTTATATATTATTAAACTGGAATATGGAATGCAAACACGTATAGGTACACTTATATTAATACTTTGTCAAATGTCAACTTAACATATAGGCATCAATTAATTAAGAAATAATCCTTCTACTTCTTGTAGACGTAGCTCTCTGCGCCGCCTCGCCCGAACCCGCCAGGGCCGAACAGGGCCGCATAACAGGGTTGGTTGCAGTAGGGTTTGCCGTCGTGTTCAGAGTGCGAACCTGGAGTTAGGGTTTTGTTGCATTTTTCGCATCGAAGACAGGCCGAGTGCCAGTCCTTGCCCAAGGAAGTTTTCCTTTCGGCTAAAAAAATAATAAACATAATCTAAAAAAATATTAAAAAACTATGAGGTTTGGAATTTCTTATAATACAGGGTGTTATGTAATTAATGTTATATATTAAAATGGGTTGTTCCTTAGGGTCCATAAAGAAGCACCTGAAACTTTTTTTTCTAAATTCCAAAGTCTAAAAATAATTTATAATAACCTTTATCCTACCAAAAAGTACGCCACTGATCGACTAGGAACTTTAGGTTAATCTGGTGGATTTATTATGTTATGGTTGGTAACAACAGTGTTTCCAAAATCTCTCAAAAAAGTTGACAAACATTGTTTAAATTTAGCTTAATTACAAAAATGACAAAATTAACAATGCAAATTGTCAATTTGGCGTTTTTATTAATTGTTGGTTTTGTCATTTTTGTACTGAAGGTAAATTCAAACAAAATCTGACAACTTTTATGACAGAATCTAAATTTATTAAAAATTTTAGGTTATGTGCTCAAATTGTAAATATCTTAACTAAGGGAAGTGCTTTTGGATTTATTTACACAAATTAAATGTTTAAAATTTAACCTGTGAACTGGTCCCAATTTCATCTGAGTAAACAGAAAGAAAAAAACTGATGAAAAATTTAATTTTTTGGTTATGGATTTTTTAAAATAGGTACTACATTTTCTAATCATTGCTTAAGCTAATAGCTGGATCAGTAAATAAATACAGAAGGGTATTAGAGCTTTAAGGGCATAAAACTTTTGTATTTAGGTATTGAGTTTTTATATATTTTTTGCAAGAAAAATTTTTAGTAACAATTTTTTACATCTGGCAACGCATAGCTACTTTGTTGGTTGGTATCAATGTACTCACAAAATACAAGTGTGAGATAAAGTGTGTAACCAGTGGCGTATCACAAAAAATATAAAAAACTTCTAATGCATATTTTTTCTTTATCTTTGGAAAAATGTGTTTTTAAATATTTTTCCTTTATTCCTTATGTCAAAAGGTATTCAGTATTTTAATATATAACATTAATTACATAACACCCTGTATATAATATTTATTGGATTTAGCTGAATAGCTTCTGCAGCTATTCTGCTAAATCCAATAAATCTTACAATAAGTGGGAAGATCATGGAAAATGTATCATAATAAGTATTAATTATTGCATAATAAAACGAATCCTAACAAAATAAACTATAGTGCAGATCAGGGTTGCCAACTCTACCAACTTTTAGGTAGATCTACCAACTTTTAGTGTCTTGCTTAAATCTATTACTTTGCAAGAAAAATCTACCAACTTTTTAAGTTTTTTAAATTTATTTCCGTGAAAGTGGTAATAATCAGTGTTGCCAACTGCTTGAAGTAGCTATGCACTATATAGCAATGAAAAATGCACTAGAAAAGCACCAAATTCACTTTGGTGTAAATACACCCGATCAGTAATCTATGCAGTAGTCTGAATTTCACTCTAGATGAACACAATGTATGAATGAGCAACCATGAAATAATTTCAAAATTAAACTTTATTTTAAGCATAGGCATTTCCACATTGGTAAGCCATTGCTTTAGGGCAGGGTCCTTTAGCCACACTGCTCGACATTGTTGCTCATATTGTGGTTTCGGCATCTAAAAGTATAAAAACAATAAAGCGCTGATAATTAATCTCTATTGAACTAGACCATACCATAGAAAAGAATATACTATTCCATAGAATATGAATATACCATACTAGACTTCTTTTGTTTTTTGAAACAAACATAGAAAAATAATACATCGAAACAGAGGTTCTGTGAAAGAATTCAACAATCAAGAAAATCGCAGAGCAGCGGCAGCGCAGTACTACATTTATAATCTGTGATACTACCCTAAACCAAGTTTAGGGGTACTACCACCACAGGTTGGACTGTTGGACAGGGGCGTATTCAGATTTTCTGAAGGAAATGTGGGCTGTGGTTAAGTTGTATGATTGAAAAATTATGAAAATAAAACCAGTGTATAAACGCCTTTTCATTGTTATTTACCAAATTTGGTAAATGATCGATGATGCACTAGATTTTGCACTAGCGCACCAAAATCGAATTCCGGGCACTAGATGGAGGTTCAATCCACCAGATCTAGTGCAATATGCACCGACTTGGCAACACTGGTAATAATGCGTTGTGTTTTTTTATACTTTCCTTCTTTGAACATTTACCGAATTTCATAGCTATGCGTTACTGTAACGCCTTCTATTATCTATAGTATAGATTCTATACCATTTATCAACAAAAGTGCTGAGCAACCTACACCCAAAGATAATACACCCTACTAAAGACCATTATAAATTATTCAATTAAAATATGTATTCTTTTAAAGAATAGAATAATAAAAAAGCTATACTTTTTTTTCTTATATTTTTACCCTTTTTCCATTTTCAAAAAGATGACCTTTTGCTTCTAATCCCTTTAATTATAAATAATCACTTGGGTTGTATACTATTAAATTACGATATAGTCTACCATATCATAATTTAATAATTCCAGATTATAAATATTTAATTAATTAATTTGAGTAATTAATTAAGTAATTTATAATTTGATAATTATCATAATTTGTTCTTAAATTTTTTACTTTTTTCTATTCTTATTTTGAATATTGGCAATTTGTAATTCTGCTTTTTCATTGATTTTTTTATGAAAATACTTGAAATATGTTTTATTCATCAAAAAATAAATTTAGAGTGCCAGATCTTTTACTTACTTACTAGAGTCTCAGAATACTTCAAAAGTATAGGTGGTAGATCTACTCACTTTTCAAAGTAAGATTTGTTGGAAACTAACAACTTTTAAAATCATATCTACCTCCTAGAAAGATTTTGGGTTGGCAACACTGATGCTGATAAAAATGCTAAAACCAGATATTTACAATTTTTTTCGACATGTAGCATTCGTAAAAAACCTCGTCCAGTCAGAGATAAAGAAGGCTTTACAGTCTCCACTGTCCACTTAAATGGTCAAATTTCCCTAAAGAGAATAAATATTTTACATTGCTCTAAATCGCCTTAGTGCAATATTGCCAGATGTAAAATATCTATGCTCTTTAGGAAAATTTAATATGCCATGTATAATGGGTTGCATAATGCAAGGATGGCCTAAAACTACTTATATTTTATTTTAGATATTTGATTTGAAAATGTATGTTTAGATTTAACGACAATTTATAATGTTATAGTTATACATTTTAATACAACATAGTTAATAATATTAACTTAATATCCATCATTTATTTTTAAATCCAACATTGTGAACTCGACTTTTGTCAATGAACAATATGACAGTTTCGAAAGTTCAGTGTTTTAAGGAAAGTTTGGGGGCGTCCATTAATATATCTATATATATATATATATAGGGGGCGTGGCCTCGCCTCCCTCCAACGCGCGACACAGTAGCTAAGCAAATAGCCTGCATCGCTAATGAGATTTTTTGCATTATTATCATTTAATTTTTTAAGTCGTCTTACCTGCTCGACCTTTCGCATGTCGTTTATCACACAAGCGCCTTGGAGGGAGGCGAGGCCACGCCCCATATATATATATATATATATTCGGTTTTGCTCTGAACGGGCTGTACATATTTTCGTAGGAAATTGAATGCTCTACAAAAAAGGACTGATGTTTTTAAGCGATTGCTCTAACCATTTAAAAGATATTCAGGTTCAAAGTTTGAAGAATTTATTTAAAATTTTTTTTAAATATTTTTCTAATTCATTGAAATTTAACGCTCTACAAAAAGGTCTGATGTGTTTAATTAATTGATTACCCTAACCATTGAGAAGATATGAAGATAACGTATCCGAATCTTTATGCGTACAACAAACATGTCCTTTCTTAAAAGTAGTTTTTTTTTAATTTCTGAAATTGTTTTAATCACTATGGCTCATTCAAGCGTGCTAGGGAGACCAATAAAGTGTAGAAACATGCCTTATATTGCAAAAATTTAATGTACTTAATTTGAAAACAGTTTTTCTGCTTTCCTGAAAAATCTGATCAGAGGGACAAATTTGGTTTTGACCAGACGCTCCCCACATCATACCAAATCTCACCAAGAGTCCAAATAAAAAAATGGCCCCGTTTGTTAAATTTAAAACTATAAATATATAGTTTTCCACGAAAACATTATATCATTATTTTTAACATACAAACCTTAAATTTTTAATTTTTTTGCAATGCATGCAATGGGTTAAAAATTATATTTTAACTCAAAATTACTCTTTTTTTATTTTATCTACTCCTACATTGAAGAGCTGTGACTTCATGGCGTTTTAGTCAATATATTGACTAAAACGCCATATTACCAATAGCCTATAGGCTATTGGTAATATCGGCTTTTGGGCTGAAGTGAGCTTTATTATCAAATGTTGAACAAAAAAATTGGCTTTAAATTCTTCTTTGTGTTTGTCGTAGATAAAGTTTAATATGCAACTCTTTTTATAAACTTCTCTAGACACTCGTTTTTATTAAACACTCGCTTGCAAGCTTTGCTTGTGCCTAATAAAACTAGTTACTAAAATGGCATTTATAAAACTTGATACATAATCTACTATTAAAGTAGAGGAGTACAAGTACAAAAAACCTCATCAAGATTTTTAATTTATTTGAATTTGAAAAATTCGCATTATTTTTTAATAAAAATAATAATGCAAACTCAAGGTTATACAGTTTTTACCGCTTATTTTATATCTATTTAAACAACTGGTTTAAAACATTCTGCAGACGATGATATAATTTGTAAACATTGGTCATATTTTATTTCCTTTACTTTTTATGTACAGAATTTTAATTAATAACGGAGTTGTATTGTAAAAATAAATTAAATAACCACTGTACAACAAAAATTAATTATTTTTTGCTGTTATTTAAAGTTATGACTGAATAAAAACCATTTTTGACTACCCAGTAGTTTTTAATTTTTACACTATTATTTTGCCAATGAAACATTTTTAAAATGGTAGGTACAACTATAAATACTTAATTTTAATACCAAATA